ACTACATGATAGAAATAAGTAGACAGTAGTAAAATTGCGTACTTTCTAAAAAGTCTACCTGCATGAACTGTAGTGACGTCATATTCACACCGGAATAGCCTGACAACAGTATAAGTCCGATACCGTTACGTCCGCCATTTGTGACAACGGTATCTAACTTTACCGTTGTCAGGTTATTCCGGTGTGATATTAGAAACTCCTTCGACAATAGAGGTCCTTTGTCCATGAGGCACCAGCCTTTGAGATTTGAATCAAATCCGATGGCGAGTATTAAAGTGTTATCAAAAATTATAGTTCTTCCAAAAATGACGGTCATTTTGAATCAAGCAGTCATCTTTAAAATTCCTTCTTGAGCAGTTTCCTTTGCACATATATAAGGCATCAGCAAATACAATTTGAACAGATAGTACAGGGTGTTCAAAAAAACGCAACCCAAAGAAATCACTATATCTTGAAAAATACTGGTTCAATTATGTTCATATTTTCAGAAAATAAAGAAGAGACTGTGTATGTATAGCTCCTGTAAATGGTTAGTTGTAAAACATGATGCCTTGGACACCTGCTCAAAAGACAGTTGTACTAGGAAAATACGAAAAACGCAGTCAGGGGTGACTGCAACCGCAAAAATATTAAATAACTTTCTAACCATAGTGTTTTGGCTCTTCAAATTTGGCACAAATCATCTTCATTCACTGTATGGTAAATCTGTAGAGTGAAATCAAAATCACTTCAAAGACTTTACAGTCATGGTTGAAATGCTTTCAAATTGCAGTCAAACGCCCTGGTTCAGGGAGACTTAAGAAGGCATTTTGACCATAACTGTAAAGTCCCTAGAGTGATAGTAATGAAACTCCACAAATGCACTACGAATTGAATGAGTATTTTCCAAGATATAGCTATTTCCTTGGGTTGCGTTTTTTTGAACACCCTGTATTTGATCGAAGTTTGGATTGAGCAGCCATATTGGACATTCCTTCTTGAACAGGAATTCTCTTCCTACTCGACACTAGCCTATGGAATCCATCAACTTCTGAAACTAAAATTTAATTTTTTTTCATAAAAACTCGTAACTATTTTGAATTTGGCAGCCATTTTAAAAGTTTCTTCCAATTTCCCAAACCAGTATACGTAATCAAAATTCCAGTTTTACAAAAATGGCGGCATTTTTCAGCAGCCGTTCTATGGGATAATAAGACCATTTATCAGTATGGTCTAAAAATATTCAATAACATGCCCTTGGAAACCTCAAAAATACATCATGTTTTTGGAATTATTTATTCGTCGTACGTGTTTACACGTGCTGGCTAGTATAGGATAATTGAAACAGCTAGTGTTGCAAAAGACAATTTCTGTTTGGGAAGCTATTTGACTTATCAAGAACAGTCGAAATGTGGATGAATATCGCTAATTTTACTGCTGCAATATTGGAACAGATTTTGGCTCAAGCTCGAGGAGTTGTCTCAACTGACAACTACCTGAATAAATGCAGTCACATTTGTCGCACGGCGGCCGCAAGTCGACCGCAGATCAATTAAATCGGTGTATTTCTGCGACGAGCGTAGAAAAACTACGCTCGCCTTGCGGCCTCCGTACGGCGAATGCAGATTTTTACAGGCCGCAGGGAAGGCGTAGAAATTATAAGTCGGAGTTATAATATTTGTTCATTTCTGAGGTCCCCGTAGAAATCAACTGGCTCAACAAGATTGAATCATTATTTGTCAATGTTTCACGATCACTTTTCATCTGATATTACATCCTAGCACTATGAATAACATTTATAAATTGTCCCGATGTAAATAAAATGAAAAAAGTATTATTTATCAACAGAAATTTAAAATTCACCGTGCGGCTGCCGTGGGAAATGTGACTGCAAAAGTATGAGAGCGCAGAAATTCCACGGCGAGCGTAGAAATGTTACTGGCCGCAGAAATGATAGACTGCAAGGTCGCCGTAGGAAATGTGACTGGGGTGTTAGAAACATAATTGCAAAGCATCAATGATAAACAGTTTGTTACAATTCTTTGTTTGGAAAATGATATGCTTAATGCTGAAATAACAGCAGATGAATTGTTAAAAAACTGAAAAATGGTAAAAGTGCTGGTACAGATGGCATACTCAATGAATATATCAAATGCACTTTTGACATACTTACTAACTTTTATACTGTTTTATTTAACAATGTTTTGAATTCAGGGAAAGTGCCAGAATCATGCTTATTGGAATTATTAAACCCATTTTTAAGAATAAGGTGACCCGGAGACAAACAAACTCTTGGAATTACAGAGGCATCACATTATTGTCTTGTTTAGGCTATTTACAGCAGTATTAAACAAACGCTCTACTTGTATTTATTTGTAGCTAAAAACAATTTAATGAATATTGATCAATCTGGCTTCATGCCAAATCAAGGATGTAATGATCAAATATTCAGTTTATATAACATCATTGATCTTATGCTTAGTATGCAAAAGAAAAAAATATACACGGTTTTTGTAGATTTTAAACAATGTTTCGACAAAATAGATAGAGCAATTTTGTGGTAAACAGTAAAATATTGAATTGTATCAAAGATGTATATTCTAATGCAAAATCATGCATTTCTGTTAATGAAGAAACATCTGAATATTTTTCTCTGTATGAATGGTTTGAGAACTGGCGAAATTTTATCTCCATTATTATTCTCATTATTTGTAAATGATATGGAAGACTTTATTGTAAATAGCCAAGGTTGTCAATATTTGAAATTGTCTGAATGTATTAATTGCCTTTTAAAATTGTTTATCCTCATGTATGCTGATGACACTGTTATCTTATCAGAAACAAAGCTAGGTTTACAAAGTGGGCTTGATGCGTCAAAGTCATATTGCGAGCAAAAATTACTTGTCGTTAATGCTAAAAAGACCAATGTTGTCATATTTTCTAAGAAAAGAAAGAAAGAAACACCTAGATTTTTGTATGATGGAGATCAACTCAAAATTGAAGACTCATTCAAATATTTGGGAGTCTGGTTCCATAATAATGGGAATCTTTCTATATAACCCCTTGAATGGTCTAACTCACTACCGTCCTCAAAAACCGATCATTTAAAATATTTTGTTCAAAATACTATCATGCCACGACTTGAGAGCATTTTATTCTTCACGATTTGCTGTAGCGCTGATATGACGTCGTATTTCTAGAAGATATTATTGTAAAAAAATCGTCGATGGGACAAAGTCACGCCACATGATAAATGAGCCTGGCCATAGGAAAACCGGTCTTATCACAAAAATTAAAATTGTGCTCCAGAGCCAATGTGCCCAAGATTAAGAGCAAAATGTGCTAAATTAAAATCCGACTTTTTGGTCTATATATGAAAGGAAAAATCGTTAGGACATAACACCCCAGTCACATTTCCAACGGCGACCTTGCGGTCTATCATTTCTGCGGCCAGTAACATTTCTACGCTCGCCGTGGAATTTCCGCGCTCTCATACTTTTGCAGTCACATTTCCCACGGCAGCCACACGGTGAATTAAAAATTTCTGTTGATAAATAATACTTTTTTCATTTTATTTACATCGGGACAATTAATAAATGTTATTCATAGTGCTTGGATGTAATATCAAATGAAAAGTGATCGTGAAACATTGACAAATAATGATTCACTCTTGTTGAGCCAGTTGATTTCTACGGGGACCTCAGAAATGAACAAATATTATAACTCCGAGTTATAATTTCTACGGCGACCTGTAAAAAAACTGGATACGCCGTACGGAGGCCGCAAGGCGAGCGTAGTTTTGCTACGCTCGCCGCAGAAATACACTGATTTAATAGATCTGCGGTCGACGCACGGCCTCCGTACGACAAATGTGACTGGGGTGTAAATAATACTTTTTTCATTTTATTTACATCGGGACAATTTATAAATGTTATTCATAGTGCTAGGATGTAATATCAAATGAAAAGTGATCGTGAAACAGTGACAAATAATGTTTCAATCTTGTTGAGCCAGTTGATTTCTACGGGGACCTCAGAAATGAACAAATATTATAACTCCGAGTTATAATTTCTACGGCGACCCTGCGGCCTGTAAAAAAACTGGATACGCCGTACGGAGGGCGCAAGGCGAGCGTAGTTTTCCTACGCTCGCCGCAGAAATACACTGATTTAATTGATCTGCGGTCGACGCACGTCCTCCGTACGACAAATGTGACTGGGGTACATTTTTGTGCATGAGCAAAAACACGGGAAAATGAATCGCTTTTTGACAAGTGTTTTCTTATCAATTGAAAACAGCTGTAGAATAGCCTTAGGGTATCATTAGTAAGTTACACAAATATGAAAGAGATCAGTCACATATTATGTGAGAATTGACAAATTCAAAAATGCATGGCAAAAAATCCAATTTCAATGGGAAAACCACTTATTTCAGTCTGCTGAACGCAGTCTGCAAAACGCACTTTTACAAAAGGTTGAAAACAAAACATTAGGGACATGTGAACATAACATTTAATACTGATAAAATACTTCCCTCTATTGAGGTGAATACCTGTATATCTTTCACAAGTGATATTTCACGAAGCCCGAGGCTAATGGAATATCATCTTCTGAAATGGTCACAGTTCACCGAAAGTAGAGTGAAATATTTGTTTTCATACATCAGTGTCTGTTGAGTCAATGGCATTCGACATCCTGGATGGCTTTGCAGTACGTAATCCCTGTCTAGTCTTGATTTCTCACCTCACATATATTTTGTATTCGGTTCACGTTTTTGCAAGTCTATATCGTTCCCAGTTTCCTTCTTTCAATCAACTAGAACTTTTAATGGAACGTTTAGCTGATTTTTTATTACATGTGTGTACATTGTCAAATGTACCAAATAACTCTCAGTGAACGTTTAACACAGCATGTTTAAACTAGCTTTAATATTCGTGGTATCTAGTCCCGGGTATCTAGTATTTCAAAAGACTTATGAATAGAACGACCTTTGATTTTTAAGTTACATTAAGAAAACTTAAACTGTGGTATTAGGCAACTCTTAAAATGTTAATGAAGATTGCGCTTTTTGCTGGTCTTGCTACAATATTAGAAGATATTTTGGCCCACGCTCAAGGCCCTGCCTCTACGGACAACTACCTAAATAAGTGCATGCTCTTGCTTCCCGAGTACTCCAAGAAAACACCGAGTCCGGAGCCAGGACTTGAGGTAAGATATTTTAACAAAGTTTGTGTTGTAAGGCTTGACATGTTAGTTTTTCAGAAATAAATTAATTTTGCTCTGAACTATCAACCATGCAAAGAATTTGAAATACATTCTTCATTTCAGTGTTCTACATTTGTCGGTAATTCCTGCTGTAAGAAGGGAGTAACGCTGCCCTTCATGACTGAACATAACTGGCAGAATATCACCGACTTCCCACACTGTCCTCAGAAAGCGACACTTGAACCACAGTGTCATATGCAGTTTTTCGAGGAGCTCTGTTTCTTTCTTTGCTCTCCGGATATCGGTCCTTGGATCGTTTTAGCGGTAAGGGTCTTTGATGATAAATATTTCGAATGGCTGAGATAAATACACCCAATGCAGACAGATCGCCTAAAGTTACATTCGTATGATGAAAGACTCGACATTCAATAGGAACCTAGAAACATTTTGTTACCAATGTGGCATTTTTTACTGCTTGATAAATGGTGAATGACAGTCACATTAAGTTCTACAAGTATGAGAAAAGCATGAGGTTCTAATATTTCAAGGTAACTTGTTTAGAAAATGATGGCGATGATGGAAATTACGATGTAAAGATAAAAGCACAACGAAATATTTGTAGATTTCTTTGAAAAACTACTATAGTACCCCGGACAGGTTGTATGATGCAGTCGTTTTTTATTCATAATTTTTACTAATTATATTATATTATTTCATATTATATCATATTATGTTATATTACATCATATTATGTCATGATCTATTATTTTTGATGGACACGCACATTTCCCGGCCAAAGAGGGTCTGAGCATCAAAATGACACCTCCCTTTGATACAGGTCAACCTTATTAAGGGAGCATCTCGAAAGTTCAATGTTGGATTACTATACTGTATTAAACACTTAATCTGCGACCCCCTCCGTTCGTTCATTGCCATTGCCCCCCCCCCTTGTCAAACACACCGAACGAACAGCTATGACGAGAATTCAATATTTGACTTGTCACTGTTTATGTTTTAGAGCCCTGATTTAAAAGTGATCACGCATAGGTTCAAAAACATCCCAATCTGTGCAAGTGTGTGCGAGCAATGGTACAACGCATGTCAGGATGAGTATACGTGCACAGATAACTGGTATATAGGATTCAACACAAGCTCAGGTATGTCATTGCCATACTAAACTTTAAAATGCTCTATCCCTCTATAGACACCAACGATAAAAATTTAAATTCATTGAATTGGCAAGAGAGTACGGTACGGCCATGTTCTGATTATATCATTGGTCTCCAGCTGTTAAAACATTTTCAAGGTCTTTCTCATGGGAAATGTACACGTTTGTTATTTATTTCCAGGGATTAATAGATGTCATGACGTTTCACAGTGTTTTAAATATCCTGAGCACTTTACAAACTCACAGAGTTTCTGTGAAAACATATGGGATAATTCATTCAAGGTTGTCCCAGATGACGAGCCATGTATGCACTTTTCATATGACGCCACTTCCGGTAATAACCCAAATCGAGCTGTGGCAGAGGCTCGAGCAAGGGTTCTATCCACATCATCAAGTATCTATTTAGATAATTCACAGATACTTATCGTTGCATTTGCCATTTTAGTTAGTCAATTAATGAACGTGTAATAAGTGATTCCGATTCAAATTGACTAAAATGAATCAAATGAGTTATTTAAATAAACATGTTTGTATTGCGTAAGTATGCAAGTTACATACTGTTCAAGGTACATGTAGTTATACATCAAATATTAAAAGCACCTCTCATTCTATGGAATAGGAGAAATAACTCGACTGGTGTTCGGTGTTTAGAACGTAACATTTCGTTAAAACACACAAAGGGACTACATGTACTGATTAGACAGGTATGACTCCCCTATTGTTTAGACGTTTTACTACTTGCCACAATCAACATCACTGCCAGCATATCAAACCAGGCCCATTTTCCATCAAACTTGGCCCAACCACTATCAGGTGGATATCCTTCAAAAAATCAAGTTTGCATGGTTACCGAAGCCTTGTAGTCACCATGGCAACCTTGGAAATGGGGTAGAACATGAGAGCAGAAAAGCCCCCAAACCCATCATAATGGCTCTAATTTATAGATTATTTCTAGTCATACAAATTTTCTTAAACTTTGATATCATTTAGAACACTTCTAGAAAACAAAAATGTCAAAAATTGGGGGGAGGTTTATCACTTCGATTTTTTCACTTTTGAATCACCTATTATCACCCCAAATGGCTATATATTTTCAAGGTCAAGGTCGCCATGCTAAAAGAAGAAGTACTGAGCTAAATCAGCTCTTCGGACAATGTTTGATAGCTATTCTTCACCACGGAATAAAGATCTTTGCGCCGGTATGCCCATTTCCATGAGATAATGCACGAGAAAGAGGAACTATATCTTTAAATGTCTTCAAAACTTTCGCACTACTTTTGGTGTAATAATTCCATAATGGGGACATGTTTTCTTATTCAGTGCTAGTGTTACTGTTTTAGGACATTGAGACATTTCTGAGAAAAAATGGTATCCAGAAAAGTGATATTTTGAATAAAATGGGGCCAAAAAATGACCCCTGAAGATGCCTGGATTTTTTGAGATTTTGGTGTTTTTCACTGGCTTGAAAAATGGATGATGTAGGGGAGTGACATACCTTTTGGGTTGATTCAAGTTAGCATTTTAATCAAATGAATGGTGACATTTTTGGTACCATCTTGAATATATAAGCACAAATACCAAAGGTAAGGGTGACTAAAAACTTTAAAGAAACCCAACAAGAAAAGCAAACTGTAAGTGTAAATCTGTCATAAGAAAAGTAGACCCTATATATCCCAAAACCATAATCTAACGTGAAAAGAAACAATGTCTAACTTCCCCCTCCAATCGGGAACCAATATCACAATCCAGGACCAGAACACCAAGGGACATTTCATTCATACTGAAGTCATTACAATACATGTTGAAGAAAAATTGAAAAAATTGACAGCCAATACTCATAACATCAAAACTAGCTTGAAGCTTGTCACGTCCGCCTTAATTTGGTACCAATATTATGAGGTCAAATGCCATATTTTGACGTCACGATGGTACCAAACGATTATAAATCAAAAATTAAGCACCAAAATGCGGCAAAATAATGGTATGACTCCCCAATTGTTTTGCCGTTTTACTACTTAAAAAGGAAGGAAGAAAGCAAGGAAGGAAGGTAAAACGTGAGTGCGTCGGTGAGTGAGTGAGTACACTGTATGTGAGCTTGCAACAGAAGATTGAGACAAAAATTGTATTACTGAACATTTTTCTGACTTCAATCGTTTTAGGCTGCCCTTAATGCAAGCTTACGTGTGAATCTTGCTGAATATCGACTTGTACTCACATATGATGGAATCAATTCCACTTACTCTTCAAACAGTTGGATTGATTGGATTTGATGCGTAAAATCTACAACATTTATTTTTACATCATATTATGAAAATAAGGTTAAACTTCTTGCAGTTCATTCGACCACATTTCTTAGGTGACCTTTCGTATTCTGAAAAATGGCATGGAAGATCATACTGCCGTTTTTCCATTACAACTTATCGTAATATGTAAGTATTAATAGAGTTGTACATGCTGTTTTTGAGAATTGTATCAACAAATAATGTATTCATCAAACTAGACACAATAGTAGATCAAGATGGGTATGATAGTGGGGGATTTTCAGGGTATAATCGGAATTCACTCTATTTTCGAGAGACACTTGCTCCTGATTTCAGCGGGACCTCCTCATGTTTTCAGCGGGATCTTTGCTTTGTTGCTCCTGCTAAAAGCTTGGCCTTGAGGGAAATTATAAAATTGAAATATAAAAAGTTATGTAAAGATTTAGGAAGTGAAACTCAGTATATTTTTTATTTCAAATCACTCTCATTATTTCAACCACAGGACAACGTCGTCCTTCACCTATGGCGTATAGAAATATAGAGATAGAAACTCAAACTTCAACCACAGAAGGACTGCTCGTGATACTTTCTCCAGCAGTTGCTTTTTTAGTCTCAATACCATATAATCATTGAAGAAAATTAAAAGACAACGCTTTGTACATCATACAATTCAAGTAAACATAACTCCAGATCACTTCTTTTATTCCTCGCAATTTCAGCGGGAACTTGCTCGCGACTCTTAATTCATTGCGGGGCTTTAGTTTCTACCCGTGTAAATTACCAGTGTTAGTTTTTACCCTTTATCAGATCATCTACTGTGCATCCTTCAAAAGGTCCAAAGTAACCAAGTACAAACAATATTTTATCTTTCAGTTCAGATCCAACATTTATTTTATAAAACGGATGTAATACGCTGTTCCCAATTCCCAATAATACTGTTCAATCCATTATAGGTGAGGAGTGAAATCCTCAATTGTGCAATTTAAAGGAGATTAATAGTTCAGAGTATATAAGGACGTGTCATACCTTAATCTCTTCATTTATATATGCTTTCAGTGAAAAAATGTATATTTTAAATCATAGTGAGGGACAATGATGTTTTAGAAGTCCGTTTCCATGGCAACTGAATTTTACCATTGTTAATGAGGACTATTTCTATTATTTGATATAACTATGTCATTTTTTATCAGATTTTGATGAAATATACACCAAATGAAAGCTAATGGAACAAAAATTATGATTGGCTGAAAATTATGCAAATTAGCTCATTTGCATATCAACTGTGACGTCATAACCATAATTTATATCTAATTATTGATGTTTTTTTAATACTTCTTACAATATAAACTGCTATTTAATTAAACCGTCATGGTAGATTTATTATATTTCACTATAAAACACTTCTAGAATATCATAGCTTCACAATGATATATAATATGAGGCTTATTAGCTTAAATTATTACAATTATGGCATTCTCAAGTTGCATATTCAAAATTCAAAATGTTTACAAATTATACAGTAAATGCAATGAAAAATGTTAAATGAAAAATATGGTTTCTTTATGTATGAATTTAATTTATATTAATGTAAAATTTGTAATGTAAGTACCAAATGAGAGCTACTTACTCTAGATGACTGTTTATAAATCATTAAAAATGATCATGTGTGACACACTCGTTTCCATGGCAACCATATTTCAATATCAAATATATTCTTGCTTAGCTTAGCTATTCTTGTATAGCTTAGTAATCAGATTTTAATCATACTGAAACCGAGTGAAAGCTAATCGAAAAAGGAATCTTTTTTTGTTTTTTGTTTGTTTTTGTTTTGTTGTTCTGTTGTTGTCAAGACAACAATCAATAATACTGGTGACATCACTTTTTTTTATTTATTTATTTTTTTATTTCTATCATTCATTAGCATACAAATCAATATTTCAAAATGAATATTTCAAAAACTTTAAATACATTTTCTCAATCAACAATGTTTCTAACATATTTTTCATATTCAAACATTACAGATATATTTTTTCTCTCATTCTTTGAAAACTTAAAGTCATGTATAGTTTTCTTTATTACAAGTGACTTGTATAATAACTTTTTATCTAATATTCCCATCCCTATTTTTTCATTATCATTCAAAGCTACATCTTTCCAAATATTTTTAATTGCATTACAATGTATAAAAAAGTGTTCAATATTATCAACTTCGTTACATAGTTTACATAAATCAGATTGTTCTATGTTATATTTTTTTAATAAACCACTATGTGGATATATACCATGGAAAATTTTCCATTGGATACTTAAAAGACCAGTGTCTGACATACATTTAAATAGCTGATTCCAAATGTCTGAACCAATAGTCAAACCATTAAATTGTACATCACACTGCCTTTCTTTTACAAGCTTATTCCTGGTTTTCTGTGATGTTAATTTTTCAATTTCTATTCCTCGAAATACTAGTGTTTCACTGGGTTTTATATTACCATACATATGAATTTTCTCTTGATTTAAACAAGCTCTTAAAATGTTATATTGCATTAAAGTTTCAGCATTTTTTCCTATCAATTCAGAAATTACCTCATATGGTTTTAAGTGTCCATTCACAACAACATCTGATATGTAGATTAAACCCTTTTCTATCCAGTTGTGAAAGTACAAGGGATATCTACTTAATACAATATTTCTGTTATTCCATATTATAGATTCATCTGTATAATTGCTATTCTCAAGCCATGTAAATAATAATTTTTTATAGAAAATGCTCAAATGAGCGATACCTTTCAACTGATCAGCACTTATATTGCTGTTGAGAACACTAAACTTTTTACCTAATTTTCCATACATATACTCTGGTATAGCTCTCCAGTGGCCATCGCCATTCTCTGTTAATCTTTTAATCCATTGAATCATGTATGCAATTTGTAAGTCTTTACAGTTAATCATTTTTAAACCACCACAATCATAGCCTTGTACTAAAATATCTCTTTTTACTTTATCAGGCACCTTTTTAAGGTCTTCCTCTTTGAATTTTCCTTTTGCCCATATGAACTTGAACATCATGGTGTTAATTCTATTTAACAATTTATCTGGTAAAATAAATGATTGCATTAAATACGAATACTGGTGACATCACAAACAAACTGCAAAACATGCATTACTTTAGACTCTAAGGATTTTAGGCTCACTGGCTGCAGAATATTT